TTATATTATTATTATTATTATTATTGTTGTTTTTATTGTTATAGTTTTGTAAATTTTATTTTTTCGTCTTTTATTTGAACATTGTAATAGTTACACTATCGCACTATTCAGGTTAATATAGTTGTCTCTTACTGTTGATATGATGTATTTGATAATAGTTATTGTTGCTTTTGCATTTTAGGGTCTCGACTGCATGTGTGAATGCACATAAAAATAATTATTCAGATAGCATTAATCCTACTATTTCACATAGCATTTATTTGGCTTAGATAAAACAGAATTGTTCATACAGCTGTTGTTGTTCCCAGTTTTGTTTCTGTGATATATTTTATATTATATAGTATGATTAATGATAAGAGGCGACTTAAGACTCGAGAGCCAACGATTTGGTACGCATCATAAGACCAACTTTTACATGGCAAGGTGACAATTACCATCCCTTTGTTACTGAATGTTTCTGTAATTACTCCACGTAAAGAAGAAAATACTGATTCATGTATCGAAAGTATTAAAGCGCTCTAGATGGAGAAACGGTTAAAATCGTCAGAACTCCTGATTGTCTCTATTAAAAAGGTTATCTTATCTCCTCATTATTCACCTCATCATTATTGTTTCATCAATACCGCTATACAAGTCACACGCATTTCGTCTTTTGATTCCATCTGTCTCTCAAGGTTTTTTGCTCTAATAGATGTATGCCTATATATTATTATACAAAGATAATTTTTAGCGGAATAAACGTAGCAATAAACATAAACATTTTAATGCGGCCACACGTTTATTGGTTTGAGGGTCTAGACGTAGAAATGGAACGTTTATCTAAAGACGTAAACAATCAGTAAGAATCTAATCAAAAGTAGATCGGGTCAGCTTCATTTTCTTTGGCCAACGCTCGTGGGTGGTGACTTGCACGCCCCTTAATGAGCGATTTGATCAATAGAAAAGTACCCTTTTGATCACTTTTGAAAAAAGAAACACATTAGTTGATCACTTTTAGCAATACAGCGCTCTTCCGAGTTGCATCAGTCATTGCCCTCGTCTTTGTTTTCTTATCGTATCTCATGGATAAGACGCGGGGTTACTTTGAATCCATGATTTTCAGGTAAAGAGTTGTGTGCTGTACACGATTGTACAGTTAACAATACCCAAGCAGGCATTGATTCGACATTACAAAGGTGAAGTAGTGTAGAATTATGTTAGTTTCAGTTTTACTTGTTTGCATGTTGCGGTGTCTAAAACCGTTTTATTCCAGCTGTGTTTCATTTCATAATTATTGCTGTTTGTGTTTTTTAAACATACAATTTGCCTTCATAATGTTATTTTGTATTTATATTTTCTTGTCTTCTGTAAAAAAAAAACCACACCAAAAAACAACAAAACCCCAATTAATAAATAAAGGTTGTTTTGTTTTTCTTGTTCCACATAATTTTAAAAAAATGTATTGTTAATTCTCTACAAGGATCAGGGTTGCCAGTCATTTCAGACGATACAGTCTGTTACTGAAGTACCATAGCCCTTGAATTATTTTAATTTGAAATTGGATCAGTTTTGCGAATGGAATAAGTAAACGTGTAAATTAATGTAATTTGTTCGAACCTTCTTTATGTTACATAGGCTTCGCTTTTGTACTCTTACTTATCAAAACAGTTTTTCTTTAGAAACAAATACTCCAACCATGTATAATGTAAGCACGAATGACTCCTGTGTCGTCATCATTTCAATTTCTTTTTTCTTATTTAAGGTTACAAAAGAGGGACAACTGAACAACAATTAATTCACCGAAATAGCGGTATCCGCCTGTAATGGGGAAAAATCTTCAACCTAACAAAATTCCTTCCTATTGACTCTTAACGTCCGCGAAAAAACAACTGCGCACAACAAAAAACAGTTTACTTTTCAAGGCTGAGATCGTTTCCAAGTGAAGAATCGTGCTTTAGCAATAGCCCCGTATCGCCTGGAGCAGAATCAGCCCCCAGCACGCAAACATAACCTGTTGTCTCAACGGACCTTCCGGGGGAACTGTCTGAACCTCAGCCCAGGCCCATCTCCTCAAAGGGTCACCCACACATACAATATTTTGTCTTCGTGCCCCACAGAGCTGGAAGGGGGTGGCGAAAAGGAGTGGCTTCCTGTTGTGAACGCAATCTTTACACGACTTGTTTCCTCTTCCCAACTTTCAGACCAGTCCAAACAATCAAACCGAGACTTTGTCTTTCTTGTGTTTTGTTTTCTTTTCTTTTCTCATTTTTTTCCGGTATGATTTTGTTACTTTAAATACATAAACACACACACACACACACACACACACACACACACACACACACACACACACATCGTGTGTGATATTATTTTCATTATTATAATGTTACGTTTGTATAATTAACTCCGGGCATGCAATTACAAACGACTAGGCTCATCCCCTACATTTGCAAGATTATGTGTGTTTGCACACTCGCACCGTTATCTTGAATGTAATAATTTATTACACATGCAATATGCGTGGTAGTTTCTTTTTAACCTGGGTGTCTTTTCTTACTATCACAGGGACATTTATTTTGAGCACAGACTAGTGTATCTATGTAGATGAGGAAAACCGTATATTTATAAGTGTAATCTGCCACAACTTTTTGGATTTTTTTTACTGAGCTTTCCCCCAGAAACTATTCATACAAGTACAAGAGTCACCCTTTTTTAATTAAAAAAAAGTAAATGTATAAAGAGCACCAAACCAACAAATTAAGGAGGAAAATCGATGCCCTTCCTCTTACCAGCACAGTAAAGTTAGCGAAGCATGCGTGGAGATAATTTTTTTAGCCTTGCAACTGAGGTCTCTTTTGGTTTACACATCTGGCGTATGCAGTTTGAGTTTATTAGAAAAAAGGGAAATAAAAAGAAAGAAACAATCATCCTCTCTCTCTTTCTCTGTCTTTCTCTCTGTCTTTCTCTCTCTCTCTCTCTCTCTCTCTCTCTCTCTCTCTCTCTCTACATTTTCCTGTACTTTTTCGTTATCATCTTTCTCTTCTCTT